GAGGCCACCGCGCCTCCCAAACGTTTTTAACTAACGCGAAATGTCTGTTTTAATTGAGATATGGATAACTTCAAATTCAATTTCCCCTCGCATAGTCAGCTTGAGAGCTAAAGTCTCAATAAGTTCTTTTCAACTGTATTCAAAATATTACCATGCTATGAGGTTTTTTTGGTAAAGTTTTTTTTTTAGGTAAATTTTTGCCATTATTGCTTGAATGTTCTGCGGAAATCACCTTAAACAGCAAACTAAAAGTAGAAACCAGCTCAACTGGGCTCTTTACATAATGAGTAAGACCTGAAAGGAGGAAAAATCACACACATGTTACATAATTATTAGGGTAAAAAATATATAGAATTATAACCAAATCTGCATTGTCTGGAGAATGTGAACCATGGCCGCTAATTTTTTTTTTTTTATTTCAAATGCTTTGCCCTGTCCCAGATTCAGGTTCGTGGTAGTTTTGACACTGAGAAACAAAGGAAAATGACTTCAGTGTATCCCAAGATTCATACGTAAAATATAAAATCAGTTTTTAAGCAACATCGTCGTCCATGTCACATCCTGGTTTCTTAAACTCCCTATTGGTGAGAGGTGTGCGTCATTCTCACCACCACCAGGCCAGCATCCAATCTAGTTATCAATTGACACAGAATGTCTGAATAAATAAAAGTGGGTCTGATCAGTTCTCCACACAAACAAACAAAAGTTAGAGAATGCTGCACTTGTTTAAAACAAAACCAAAGAAGAAATGTTGTTCCATCTATTTTTGTCTGGCCGTCTGTCTGTCAGTCTTTGGGTTACAGTGCATTCCAAATGGTTTAAGTAGTGACATTACTGGGCCTGGTCACACCATATGTTCATGTGATCCAAGATCTGTTCAACATCTATTTTCTCTGTCATAACTTTAGCATTAGCTGGGAATGTACCAAAATTATTCTTTGATCAAGAAAGGCAACACACTATACAGTCAATCATCACATTATCATGTTTTCTTTGTGTGACATATATAAAAAATACACAACCTGAATAAACTTAAGCCAAGCTGTGGATTCCACTTCCTCCAGATCACTGGGTTCTTTCTAAGGGTACCATCTCCACTACAAAAGAAAGCAATTCCAGGTGCAATGATTAATATCAAGAAATGTTAGTAGTACATTTGCATTCCTTGTGTTAAAGCATTGCATTTGGTAAAACAAGATAAACCAATACTTAAGATATTTATAGCAACTGACCTACATGGGACATCACAGAGGATTCTGTCAAATATTAAAGGAATCTTCTTATCATCTTCCTGATTGAAAGAAACATATCACACAAAGCTGTTGCAACTAAATACGAATTGTAAAAAAAGTAACTTTGCGTTCAACATCCAAATGGCAACACCTTCACCTGGGGCATATGTTTCTAAATTTTGTACATGTATTGTATTTGACTAGAAAATTGTTCATTGCATTTTTTACATTCAAAGTTACAGTACAAAAATGCCAAGAGAAGAGAAAAGAGAAACAATAAGATAATGACAAATAACTATTATATTGAATTTGCATGTAGAGCTTCATGTATATTAAAGAAAATGTCTATGATCAAAATAGCTTCCCAAGATGTGTCTGGAAATGACACCTTTAGTCAAACTACACTCTATGTGTGTTTATAAGCTATAGGATTAACTTTACCCTGATGGCAACATAACAATTTCTCACACACCTCAGAGAGCCATTGTCAAGCTGACAGCCACCAACTGACTCTTTTATTTCTCAAACCAAGTCAGCCTAACATTATACATAATGTAGGCAAAAACAGAGTAATATAAAACAACAGATATACATGACTGTAAGTTTAGTAAGACCCTATCCTGACAATCTTAATAAAGAATATCTAACTAGCAGAGTGTATGTTATCAACTCAAACGAAGGGTTGGGTGAGAACTGGGGCTCTGAAATATTCATCAGCAATGGCGAACAGCAAAAAAAAAAACAACTGACCAACAACACTGAGCATGTGACGTAAAAAACAATCCCCGGAGCCCAGGCCCCAGCGGTGTGTGAGAAAACATTTTCCACTTATTTCATACCTCNGGAGGACATGTTGGTGTACCAAAGCAACCCTGTGGGAGTTGAACTATTTTCCTATGTAAATACTTTTGTTGCATTTATGTTACATAGTTTGCGCTCATGAACTCATTTCCCCCTTTGATTTATTCAGCAGGAAGCAGCGTTGGTTTTGGTCGAAGAGAAGAGGGTATACAACATGCAGCCAAACTACAGCTTTCTGTTGGCACGAAAAGTTGTGCACATTGCATGAAGACATGTCTGCAAGGTTTTAAATGCCATTAACACTGACTTCGAACTTCAAATAAACGACTTATCTGTTACACTCTTCAATAAGCTACCTTGAAAAGTTGCACACATTTCGTGAAGACATGTCTTCAAGGTTTTTAAATGCCATTAACACTGACTTCGAACTTTAAATAAACAACTTCAGTATCCGCCACAGTCCACAATAAGCTTCCTCGTCACTCCAAAGTCCGCAATATTGCGCAGCACTCAAAACATGGACATGACATCATCTGCTCCTTTAGAATTTTTTGGGGGGACCAAATTGGTGGCCCCAGATTAATAGATCTTGAATTTTTCTGCATTATGCAATTAGAACTGCATTCTGTCGAACGCAACAAAAAGGTAGGATCTTTACAGAAGAAATCTTCTCAATTTAAAAGGAGAGGATAGTAGAGCATACAATCTCATTATTAGACATCTTCTGTAGTCCTGAATATAGCTCTTGTGAACTGCATTTTGTTGCTTTTTCACATGAAGAGAAACACCACCCCTTAAAAGAACTTTAGAGTTGATTTATGGTTGTGTCCAACTCTTGGTGAATGTGATTTTGATATAAAGGTTTACTGTTAGTAGTTCATTTGACACAGAATGCAATGTGTAAATCAAAAGTAAGTTACCAGGTATTCCTGATGATTCCTCGCCATGAAGAAGTTCAATAAGTTGAACAGTTTTGGAACCAGGAGCAGCACATGCATCCAGTACCTATAAACAATACGGTTGTAAATTTACCCCAAACCATGTTTGCACATACAACTGAACTATCTGAGAACCATTTCCATGACTTGTACAGTGTCATGTCATTGGCAAAGTTTAAAAAAATTCTGTAGGTGGGGTTTTTCAAAAAATTTAGGGTGGTTTTGAACCCTACCTACACAATTTTTTTAAACTTTGCCAAAAGTTGCATCTTATAACACTTATCAAAAGTTGATAATATAAAAAAATTTCAATGTGCCGTTTTTGAATTATAAGTCCCTAAAGCTGTAATTAATGGTGTTTTTAGGAAGTCATACTGTTGCTACGGTAACCTATTGTGTCACAAAAATGATAACAACATGTTCACGAATGATTGGGCAGTTTTATGATACCATGATTGTAGCATCAAGTAAAAAAGAGCGGTTACAACAACCCATCAAAATCTAAGCGCTGGAAACTGTTTTGAGCCACCTTAATCACGAACCTTTTGACCTGGTTTGACATCTAAAAGTAAAGGAGGAATCATACTGACAGCCTCTTGACGACTGATGTTTCCCTGTCAGTAAAAACACAACAACAACAAAAATTACAGCTACGAGTTGTGCAGTAAAGGTGTGACTCATAGTAGTTTTTGACAGGATAACAATAATCTTAACTTATGACCTGAATATGAATTGTGGAGAAAATGGTCCTTGATAGGAGACTTACCCTCCCCCAGGCCCCCTGTGCCATCGATAGCCATGCATATATGTGAAGACAGTCGTCTTTTCCCAGATTCACATATGCTCTTAGTCTCTATACCTTTTTAGGGGAATGTCCCTGGTAGATGTGTCAAAAGAATTTCCATTTATTACCAACAAGCACATGCACTACCCACAATGAACTAAAATTATGCTTATGGACACAAACTTCACAGGGTTCAGCTTAAGTAACTAGATCCACATGAAATAGCAGAAGTTTTCAAGTTTCTTTTAATACATATGTTACCGTTTCTGTTTCCTGAACCAGAAAATTGTGAAACTTGTCCATGCATGAAGACTTTCTGATAAATTTCTTAGTGACATTAATTTGCCAAGCTAACTCATCAGGATACCTGGTGAGATAAAACAACTATGTTTAATAAGTAGTGTTCATTTGTGACATGTTCATGTGTGACATGTGTCAAGAGAACTGACTATGTGATCAAAAAAAAGATGGCACATTTTAACTGCAATAAATGATCTAGTGCCCGGGAGTAGCAGAGCAACCAACCAGTGTATGCTGAATCCCTGGATTTAAAAAAAGTTTCTTATTAACCTTAGACACCACTTGATGTTAGCATTCACAGACAGAACATTGCTAGAAACAAAACTTTAGATGTATGTCTCATAGTGCAAATTCAGCACAACCATGCTTCATTGTTAAAATGTTTCACTACAATTTCTCAACAGGTTTGTCAACGCATAATAACATGCCTAGGAAACTGCATTTCCTGCTCTGACTAAGAGGGACAATATGGCTGGATATGAAAATGAATTAAAACCACACTCAATTAACCCATAACCTGCACCTTTGAAGTGTAAACCTCTTAAGCTTCATCAAAGAAAACATTCTTATTTACTTCCCAAACAAAAACAGCTGTTGGAGAGGTGCTAAAACCTAGGATTTGCTTGAAAACAATACTACATGTGAGAAAATAATGAGCAGACATGATAACCCAACACACACAAGAGGTTTTTTACCACGTGAGGGGTCTTGGAGGATCAGCCTTTCCTCCATCAACCTGCACACTCTGTAGATCGTCAAGAAAAAATTTCCTGATAGCATTTAACAGTTCTTGAGCATGACTGTTGATTAAAAGAGTTTGGTTAGATTAACCTGTCAGACGGGCTAGCACAAGTTACACTTTATTTATTAAGGACATACAAGACACTGTTCTCATTATGTATTACTTGAGAGACCAAAGCTGCCAACAACAAAATATTATTATATGGCTAGCTCCGTGAGCGGGCAAGATGAAGCAAATCCTGCATTGTGATTGGCTACCTGAGCATGCAAGATGGAGCTATCTTGCCTGTTTGGGACTACCCGCCGTGTCCTGCAAGAAACATTTCCCCGAAAAGCCATATAATAAATCCTTTATTGACCAAGCTTGTTTGATCAAGATGGCTGGATGTTGGCCTCATTCTTTTTTTGTGTGTTTATGGACTTTGACTCCGTCTCGGTCCATAGACACGCAAAAAAAGAACTTGGCCAATATCCAACCATCTTGACCTCACACTTGGTCAATAATCCGTACTTAATGAGACTGTAGGTGTGACCCGGGGGAGGACTCCCATAATATATAGATTTAGGCCAGCCTAAAAGCGTAGCTCCTGGGCTGGGTTGTTCAGAGCCC